GCAAATTCCTATCATACTCAAAACTATTACTATTACTATCCATCAGCCACTAAATTAACCTCTCTATCCTTTATTTAGCACCTTTAAACACCTTCTCAACTTCTCAATGTTAACATCCTTAAGTTCACATCAACATTAATCTCCTACTCAACTATGTGAACTTCTTTAAGTTTATTTTAAACTTAGACACCTCCTCGACTCTTCTATAAACTCCCAACTTTCATCTTTAAACTCCTACTTGACTCCATAAACTTCAAGTTTATTGAAAAACCTACACCTTCTTGACTCACTTTAAACTTCTACATTTCATTAAACATCCGTATACCTCCTTGACTACAAATTAAATTCAGTTATTACAGTTTCATTGGCATTTCTGTCATTTGTTTCATTCTATTTTTTTTTCTTTTCCAGTATCTATTTCTTCAAAATTTACAATTCTTCCTATTTCTTCTCGACTTTCATTTCTGTACTCTCTCCCTCTCAATAATCTCTCCCTATACCATCACCTTCTCGAACTTCATAAACTCCGCTACAACTTTTCCTTACTCTCTCTATCTAATATCTAATATCTCTTTCGCGAAGTTCTCTCTATTTTCCATACTTTCTTCATTCTTCAAATTAAATTTTACTGAATCCATCTTGGTTGCCATGCTTATTTTTAATCAACAATCTGGTTGCTATGGTTATTTTCTTATTTCAAATTCTTCGTAAAAATTCATGAATTTTTCAATATCTGGGCCCATAACCTGTTGGACGGTTGCTTATCACCGTCCCGGACTCTGGAGGTGGAGGTCTACTAAAACACTCGTATTCACATATTCAACTGGTATATTTGCAGTATAAAAACAGCCACATATTACATTTGATAAAGTCTTATGTTTATATATGTTGCCCGGTACGTGTCGTGATAAGTCTCTGTTTACAAACATCAAATTCTTTATAAAATTTAAATACACTGTTCCAATATTCAAATCATCCTTCCTGTACAAGGTGTTGCCAAACATATAAAAACCCCAACACGTTCTAGTAATACATCCATGCCTCCAATTATTTTCCGTAAGACCCCTAAAACCTGTGTTTTTGTCTTAAGTGGGCCGTAACTCTCCCCTGGTCCGAAACTGTTTAATCTACCCTTCTCTGGGTTGGTTTTTAACAAAGTAACGTTTTCAAAAGATCCTTGACATTTTTCAGAACAAATAAATTTAACATCTTTCCGTAAAAAGGATACTGTCAACAAATACATAGTATTTATTAAAGCATCTTAAAATCATATCTATTAAATCAGGTATTTATTACATTTTGTTTTTTATGTTTATCGTTATAGTGGCAAGAATTACATTTAATAATTTTAATCTAAACGAGGCACAAACCATAAATAACAGTTAAACCTTTTTGACCAATGAGAGACGAGTTGAATTGACCAATAGGAAGAATCTGTCATCTGATGTACACGGAATATCGGGTCGTACATTATCGGGGCGTACCAATAATGTACGGCCCAATAATTCGTGTACATGTATTGTACGTCCCGATATTCCGTGTCCAATGGCTCCCAATTATCGGGCCGTACAATACGTGGCCGTACATTATTTGTACGGGCCAATAATTCACGACCCGATAATGTACGACCCAATAATGCACGGCCCAATAATCCGTGTACAAACAAAGGGATTTGTTTGTACACGGATTATTGGGCCGTGCATTATCGGGTCGTACATTATAGGGACCCCTGTTTCCGAGAGTAAAAAAAAGTCTGCGTTCGTTTGACAACGTTCCTCTGTAATGGATGGAACGGAAATACTTTATTTTTACTTCGTTCTACACATTGAAGCTTTTATTAACAGACTTATGAAGCTGTAGGAACTCGAACCCGAACTTAGATAAACAAATAGCGTGATCGTCTTCCGTTTGTGTTTTAATTTGGTGGTTCGGATCGGTAAGCTGTAGAAAGTTCAATAAACTTGGAATGTCAAGTCTGTATCGAGAAGGCCTGTTGGTGTTAGAAATGTCATTTGAGTTTTCGTATCGGTATTATTTTTATTGAACATTTTTGTGATTTTTCTTAAGTAATTCAGTATTTTTATCGCAATTTTTTATTAATATTGACATGGAAAATCAAAACACACAAGAAAGAACAGCACCTATACAGTATGTTCGAGGTTCACGTGCGTTTCGACAATTCAAAAATCCTCCACAACCTCATATGTGTATTCAAGATTCAATAAGAGACACTTCGGAGAAGTTATATATTAATGTTTTGGGATGGCAGAAAATAGCGAATCCGAAACAGTATTCGGATCCCATACCATTATATGGAGGGATGCAGGTACGTATTTTCATCGTTATAAACTTGCTCATAATAATCGCTAAATATGTCAGTTAACGGTGTAAATAAAAGTTTAAACATATGGAAAACTCTATGTTCGAATGAAAAATAATAGTAAAACTGCTTTTGCTATAAAAAAAAAACTTTGTAATTTGAAAGAGATAACAATTATGTTACATCAACAAATCGATATGTGTTATTTTTTTTTATTGCTTTTAAAGAAATAAACTAGTAATATTTATATTTTGTTTACAGGTCCATCAGGGGTGTGCTCCTAACAGCAACAGACCACCTCTTCTTGTGTTTGCTGTAATGGTCAATCCGGACATCTTGAAAGCTAATGGAAAGAATGCATCTAATCCTACAGTAAATATGATTTTTTTTACTTAAGTGTTACTGTACAATTAATAAACTTAAATCTTAATGATTGTCAACATATTATTTTATTAATATTAATTGATTTTACAATAAATGATCCATAGATAAATAATTTTAAATCAAATAAATGACTTTACTCTGAGCCTTTTTAGACAGTACTTTAAAATACCAAGATTTAATTATTAAGGGTTAATATTCTATCATATATTGCATCATTTCTATGTAAAGTTCATTTTATAATTCAATGATTTCAGGACCGAGAAGCATTGGTTAGCCTTCTCTGTGACTTTGTGGAGGCTATGAACCCAGGACTAATACTTGCTAGAAACCCTGTGATACTGAGAGACAGGGATCTTGCTGGAGAATTAAAAGATGTCTGGCTTGCTGTACAGAATAAAAGAGAACGGGAGAAAGGAATGAATCAAGATGTTATGTATAAGGTAAACAATTGTTATTATCCAAGTAAATTGTTTATTTTAAACAGTGGTAGAGTCCGCTTTAACATCTTCGCACGAATGGGCCGCTCGCCCGGTGTAATACCATGACCACACAGAAAACAGGTGTGAAGTGGGAGCAATTCCGCGTTTCGTCTGATGAGTGTGGTGCCGGAGGTCTAATTTTATCCCTTTCCCTTTACACCCTTTTCTTGTGAGGAAAGGATGGGAAGGAAAAGTGGATTTGACGGTGGAGGAGACGTATAGAAAGGGAAAATTTCCTCTTTATGTGCGTCTCCTCTTCCATCGATGAAGAGTAGGCAACGCATCTACAATTACGGATGTTTATGGGCAGCGGTCCCTTCAATTTCGGTGGATTTAGGTGGCCGCTAGCTCGTTTGCCACCTTATATTATAAAAAAAAAACAATTTTTTATGACACATTGCATCATGTATTATTTAAGTTGTAGGCTGGTTGTAAAGTATAACCGGTAAGACTTAGAGTTCTAGAAGTGTTTGTTTTTTTCAAAGGCTGTAGACATATTTTACAGTTCCACTGGTTTTGTAGATGTTCATAAACATTGATTAGCAACTTATTTTGCCCTGTATTTGTCTGCCCCTTTCTCCTTTGTAAAAAGGAAAATTGGAGCAGAGATCATTGTCTATATTCTAGTTTACTGCTGTGATTAACACAATTTATAAGAACTTTTTTATACAATAATTGATATACTGTTAAATTCCAGGTATACGATATTGACGGAATAGGCAGTGATGACATTAATGAAGACGATAAATCGAATTCTAGAAGTAACAGGCAGTATGACAGTGGATCTCCGAATAGAAACCATCAGAATGATAAGAAAAGCACAGTGAAATCATCAAAACAAATTTTGCTCAATGCCGGACAGAAATCGGAATTCGACTCCGGAATGAACAACTGTCAGCTCAATCAAAATCAATCGCACAGAGACAATAAAACTGGCAACACTGACTCCGATACCACATATTGTACACCTGTTTATGGGCAAATCGTATCAAGTAGAGAAAACCACAATCAAATCAATGAAATTCAACAAAAATTCGCCTCAAACGAGCCAACTAAACCTTCAAGTTCGTTCAGAAAAGATTGGAACCCATCGCAAGGGAAGACTGAAAATTGGAATGAATCAAAACGTAATATAATAAAACATACAGACGATTTGAAAAAGCAAAAGTGTTCAAAAACGGATAAAGCTAACAAACAAATGAGTAATGGGAAACATTACGATTTCTTTCCTGTATTTGACAATAAAGCCAGCGATTTAGAATTGGAGAAAGAAAGTGCGGTCGGAGAATGTTTAAATAAAAAACTGGATGAAGATAATAATTCTAAAATAATACTAGACCCAATGCAGAAATTAGTTCTGCATTCGACTGATAATATGTGATAATAAAGTGCTCTCGGCTCATTTAGCTAATAATAAAGCTTTTACGAGTTTTGTATGGCAATTGTCGGATTGGTACGTATTTGCTTAATTAAGTTAATTAGTATTTGTACAATATTGAACACTAGACCTAGGAGGATAACAACCTTTTTAAAACTATACACATTCCCAATTTTGTTTGCTTTTTATAAGTATTACTGAAATGTAGACATATTTGAAATATCTGTAACACTTTTTATACAATACCAGCTGTTCCTATGCAGCTGTTTGCATTATTATTATAAAGCCATTATTTCATTTTTACATTTGTAAAACTTTTAATTCCAAATGCCAAATTTAATTGCTCAAATATCAATAAAAGACTCTTGCTTTTGGCTAAGAATTTAAGTAACCATGGTAACCTGGCTTCATTGCTGGCTTGTAGTTTTTGTCCCTTTATCACACAGCATTTTTTTTCAACTTACTCTCCCCGTAAGTTTAATTTTTTTTATTTCAATTTTAGTTACAGATTTTTGATGTCTTGTTTTATCTTGTTGTCTTAATAGTTTTAGTGTTCAATGTGAGGCAATATGTAATATATTAAAAGAGTGAATAATTACGACTAGTCAAATTAATCTGGACATAGTTTAAACAATAGAATTATTTTTGAATGTTGGTATTGAAGTCTCGCGGCCGGTAGTCATAGTGGAGAGGTAAACTCATTTTGACCAAGTTTGTAAAACTTTTCGATAGTAACTTAGCATAAGAGCAATGCCACACGAATGTTCCGGACAGAAGTATCTTTGTGTAGATTACTATAAAGAAGAATGTCCAATGAATGATGTCATTAAAGCCAACTCAGGAATGTTTATTGGAGTATTGTGTTAATGGATTTTTTTTGTGTTTTGACACTCACTCCTTGATTGTTGAAATCGCTGCGATTACGTAACACTCGTATGGCATCACTCTTTAATGCGGTTTGTTTCACCATGTTTAAAATATAAAGTGTGTTTTTTATGCAAAATACTTGATGAATTTGTGTGTAGTGTGAATGAATATATTATATATGGTTGTGTAATTTTTTCCTAATGTTTTATAGTGAGTTTGTCCTAATATCAGGACACGTCAACTCCCTTTTGCATTTGTTGATGAATGTAGTATTGATAACTTTTGTATATTGCTATATTTTTCATTGTTGCCAATTTAAATTCAAATATTAAAAGAAAATGTTCATTGCTCATATTAAATTCTAAAATTAACAAAATGTTTAGTATTTTAAGAGCTTTCTTGTGTAATGGCTGCATTCTAAAAAGGTGCTATTTATTTTATTTTGTTTTTGTCTTCAATTTTTTAACATTCAACGGTCATAAATCTCTAAATTACAAAAACTATCCTAAAGACCAATTTTTCTGGTCATAAATTATTAAAGAATGCAGCCATATAATAAAATGAGCAACTATTCGAAAATGTTACAAAAAAAATTAATTTAAATCTAACTCCAAAATCACCTCAACAAAATGTCTCAACACTGCCATGAGATGCTATAAACCTCATACTCACTTTAAATGATTTTATTGCACTTAAGTTACATATAAATACATAGACAAGCCAGTAGACATGTGGCAACCAGCTCTGAGCAGTTGAACTGCAGCTCAACGACTACTTTAGCAGCTCACGGCTCAACATAAAGTATAACTATGCGAGTTGATGACCCGTGAACTGTAGTGATTCGTAACTCAAACATCCATGTACAAATTGAGCTGATCTGTGATCTGGTTTACTGATTCACTCATACAAACTGTGAGCTGAGTTAAAGGTTGTCAATTTTACAAGTCAGACATAATTGTTTAGTTGTTTGAAATTCAGATGCGGTCTCAAGGTTATGATTTGAACTATAAAGAAGAAGGCATGAATTGTATTAAATTTTACTTTTTAAATGTATGTTAAAGACAAATCTAATCGTTTGGAATGATATTTCTTGTTCAATATAGAAAATATGTTAATGTTATACAAAATAGTATGTTCGTGGAGCTTGTCTATGTATAATTATCGTAACTAATGTAAGAAGTTTTTAACTCTATATGTACGTAACTTATAAAGTGATACCGTTATATAAATTTTTATAATGTTAAATACCCGGTCTTTTATATATCTTTATGTTAATACTCTTTGTGCAATCTTGGTTCTTATTGTTAACAATATTTGCTAGAGCTACATTTTAATAGATTTATTATTAGATTACTTTGTATAGCATGCGTTAGAAACCTCGAATAAATAACGGAACAATTCTGAACCATTTTATTGATGTATAAGAGTTTTTAAGTTATTTACAACACTTATTTGTTATACAATTATTCCATTAGTATTGCATTTATTTTAAAATCGTGTATATTTTTTGAAGTTATATGATTTTAATTATTTTTAAACTTATGGTATTTTTTAAAAGAATAGTATTTATAAGTTTTAGATTTTACCAGTTTTGTATTCGCTATGATGCTTATGCTATCTGTAATGTTCCTTTGCCGTTTAATACTTTAGTTATAGACGTTCTAGGTAGATATAGTTTGTACAATTTGATTACTTTTCTGTTTAAATTGTTCATATGGAAAAGTTGATGTTAGACCGAATCTTTTATAACTGTTAGTCGTAAATTTAGACAGTCTGTTAAATTTCATACATTGTACTATAAAATAAAATGAAAATCAACTATCGGATCTCTTGTTTACAGTATTTAAAATTACATGTAATTTACAAGACTGGTTTCTGTTGTTTTATTAAGAAATAATGAACCATATGCAGTGACCATGTGTCACCATTACGTTGAGTAATTCAGAAGAAAGCTAAAGAAGAGCGAAAATTCAAAAACTTCTCTTTAGAAACTTATCACCCGTAGTAACCGTAACTCTTAGATTTGGGGTCAACAGATTGACATCTTTAGTTAAAGTAATTTTATATTGATTCGAATAAATCATTGAACATTATTTTTTCTTCATGGATTTATAGATTAAAACGAGTTTTTATTAAAAATTTTAAAAACCAAAACGTCTAAAAATTCTTCGACTGTGGCAAAAAGTTTAAAAATGCTTTAACCTTAAAAAGTCACTTGGCTGTTCCCGCCTTTTTTGATGTCAAAGTCAAACTTAACGTTTCAACAAATTAAAGTCAAAGAACATTTTTTATGAATACTGCGTCATTGTGCTTTTACATATTTGAGAATTAAGTGAAGAAAATATACACATTTTACGTCATAGCATTATAAAATTGATTAAGACAAGATAGAAGAAATGTCTGGTCGCAATGCCGAACGTAAGTAAAACACAAAAAAATTGGTAAACTACAAATTTCGTAGCTTCAGTTTAGTATATTTTGTAGTAATTATAAGGAAATAAAGATATAATTGAACCGAAGTTTAGTGTCTTTTATACTTGCAAACAGTTTGTTAGTTCCATTCTACTTTGAACATACAAGTTTGTTTTAGGCATCAAAAAGCGCGCTAAATCAAAATCGCGAAGCGCCCGTGCTGGAGTTAACTTTCCAGTAGGGCGAATTCATAGAATTCTTCGTAAAGGAAATTATGCAAAACGTATAGGATGCGGGTCGGCAGTTTATTTATCAGCAGCTTTGGAATATTTAGCAGCTGAAATATTGGAATTGGCTGGGAAAGCTGCAACTGATAATGGCAAATCAAGGTACTTAAATAAGTAATATGGTATCAAACATACTTTGATTGAATATTGCTATACTAAATTAATAAGTATTTATTAATAGTTCTAAAATTTGTCTTTTGAATAAAACTAACTTAATTAAAACTTAAACCAAGATTAGAAACATTTGCTATGAGCAAAAAGTAACTAAAACTCCATGTTTATGTGCTGTATATCTTTATTGTTAAATGAAAAGAGTCAGCTGTAAACCAGCGCTGGGATGGATGAGTCCCTGCTTCATGAGCTGGCTGTCTTTTGCCAGACTTATATCTGTGTCAATGTTGTGCATTTTTATAGTTTAAAGTGACAAATTAGTAGCCAATGGAATTCTTATTATATGTTATTTGTTTTTTGCAGAATTTTACCTCGCCACATCCTCTTAGCAGTGAAGAATGATGACGAGTTAAATAAAATGTTGGAAGGAGTAACAATATCTCAAGGAGGTGTTATACCGAGAATACATCAACAGTTACTGCCTAAGAAAACTGCTAACAAAACTAAAACATCATCTGGCAATTCACAGGAGTATTGAAAATGAATAATTTATAGTTTTTTAATCATTTATACTATGAGATAAATATTTGCAATGAGTGAAGACTCAAATACCTTAAGAGTCCTTGCAGATGACAGACATTTTATCAGCCGATAGTTTAGTTGGGAGCATGATTAGTGCAAATGTGTGTGGGAGTGCACATTATATTAATTTTGTATATTTAATTAACTGATTTAAAGTCTGTAGGTGCAAGTGCTCTAAGGTAACTCTTTTCATTATATGTGTTCATCATGAGAAGAATTATAATTAATATTTGAAGTATTGTTAAATATGTATTGTAATAAGTTTCTTACTGATCTTTTGGTAGAAAATCATGAAAAATGTTATTTGTTGTAATGTATAATATGTGGGACTGTGAGATAAAATCTTTTATGTTGAAACGCTATGGTCAATGCTGTGTTCATTCATAACAGTTTTAATCTCAACATTTCTTTACTTTTTTATTTAGCTTGATTTCTTAACCTTTTTTCTTCAATTTTATATTTAATTTTTTTCTGTAATTAATTAAATCCAGCCTTTTTTTCTATGTTTTCTATTTCTATGTATAATGCCTGGTGGCAAAGGACTTTTGACTATCTTTTGTCAGTAAAAATACAAAAGTGTTATGTAAATAACTTGAAACCGTAGTCTGCGAATTATATTGTTACTTAAGAAAATTATAATGGTATATTTATTTTTTTATTCTGTAGTTCAAAGAATTTTTGATTAGAATTAAAAAAATGGAAATAAATAAGATTACTTCTATCATTAATCCATAGTCTTAATTTCAAATTACAACGTTACTAAGCATGATTATAACGGCGACTACAGCGCGGTTTAGTTACTGCCGAATTCAAAAGTCTTTCATAATATCGCTTATAAAAGCGTCTCAGATATTTAGTGTTGCCTGAAACACAAATATACCTAAATATCCAGCAAACAATGGAAGACTTGCTTAAGCCTTACATAAAATTAGACTAACAACCATTGCATATTCTTTCTTATACTTATACTAAGCCGATGAGCTGGAATAGGTGTAATACAGCAGATACTATTAAAGAGGTTTTTTCAAAGTAGGTTTAATTGAATTTTATTAAACGAACAAGAACCAAAATGTATTAAAAAAGGGGAGATTTGACTCTTGATCTGGCAATAGCTGCCATCGGCTGTCACTGTCAATGTGTTGTTTTTAATTTTGTACTTAAAATGTAAAAAAACTTAAGATTACTGTTATACTATGAGTATATTTGACTGAATTAATAAACATTTTATTAAGAACAAAAGTTTTTGACGACTTTTATTGCGAAATTGTGTTTGCCGGCTAATTTGAGTTTGAGGTTAACTTGGTATTTGTGGCAACATGAATAACAATTGGAACGTAAATAATAGTGACCGCAGGGGATGGGGACAGAGAGGAAGGGGACGGAGAAGGGGAGCGGGTGGTTCTTGGCCGAGAAATGACTCTCGTGATCAACAACATGGGAATCAAAATCGTGGCTTTCGCGGTGGAAGGGGTGGTTTTGGCAAAACATGGAAAAAGCCATCCAGAGATAGCCCAGGTAAGAGGCTGTCGGAGGATGAGATTGGTGTGACAGAATACATGAGTGATCACAAAGGATTCAATGGTATTATCAAATGTAGGTAAGGTATTTTGAGACTGGTTTTAAATTTTCATTTAAAATCGTAACTTAGAGACTCTTTATTATTATTTGGTTTACACATGTCGCCAATAGTTTAAATAATTGTAAGTCTTTGTGAGATTATTAAAGTATTATCTATTTTTTTTTGGTTAACTCAACTTATGTTATGTCTACATTAATTGTAGATATTCAGACTTTCAAGTGTCAGAGATAAATGAAAATGGAGAGATAGCAAAGCTCACAGATATGACACCACCTGAACCACCTGCGGAAGAGAAAATTGAAGAGGATGAGGAGTTATTCCTTTCGAAATATAACCTGGAGATCCTGCCAATGGAGACTTGGGATCGTATCAATACTCTAATTGTTAATCCACCAACAAATGAGAATGTTGAGGTGGGAATTCATATTAAATTATTTTGTATTAATTTTTACTAAGAACATATAGTTAAAAGTACCAGGGGTGCAGCAAGATAGAAATGTATATCTTATGTATTTCAGGTTGATGTGACAGGTATGTCAAAGGAGGAAAGAACAAAAATTCATGATGCAGTGAAAAAGGCATTTGGAGCCAGCATAGTCAGCAGTACTATTACTATTACCGATAAGAAGATTGTGAGATTTGAGAAGTTTCAGAAAGGAGGTTAGTATTCAGTAAAAAATAAAATGAATAAAGAATCTCTCAGTCCCTTGAACTCCTACTTTACTAGTTTCAATAATATATATATCTCTTTTATTTTGCCATTTTATGATTTTTTCTCCAGTGCGTAGAGACCACAGAGTGAAATGGTTATGGCCAGCGGAATATGTACATTTTATCCTACACAAGGAGAACTGTGATACAATGGAAGCCGCAATGAGGATAGCTGAGAAATTGCAATTAAAGTAAGTGTGCATCAAACATTTCATGATGTTGCGAATTTTATTATGTAAGGTGATTTTGTCAAGCGAATTTTTAGCATTGAATGTGTTACTTATATAAAATTTTGTACTAAACACTTTGCTAATTATAGTTATTAAATTGGTAGTAATGATGTAAACCATGTTTTTTTTTTTAAAATCAATGTTGATCTCAATGTTGCTATTTACGCGATTTGATAACATGTTTTTTTAATTATACTTGGATGGATGGATTAATGTACTTTGTATCTCCAAAACGTATAAATGTAATTTAATAAAATTTGACAGTTGTTTTCTTAATTTAACGTGAAGTCGCGAAAGGCTAATATACCTTGCAAATATTGTCAAATATATTAACCAATTTTCAGTATAAAATCAACAATGTTGGGTTATGCTGGCACAAAAGACCGCCGTGCGAAGACGACGCAATGGTTCAGTCTGCGAAAAGTCGACCCCAAGAAGATAGCAGCGGCCGGGAGAGACCTTAGAGATATGTATCTCGGCAACTATACATTCAAAAACTATAACCTGAAACTCGGCATGCTTAAGGGTAATAGGTGAGTTTGTATTTATATTTTACTTCTTTAATAGATAATTGATGAGAAATATTGAACTATATAACTAAATTTCTGTTAGTGATTTTTTTTAAATTACTTAACGATTCCAATAGCAATAGACAATATGTATTGTTTCAAGGGTGATATGATTTATAACATACGAGCTGTTGCCCGCGACTTCGTCCGCCTGGTATTAGAAACATACGAACTATATAAATAACAAAAAGCTACGTATCCCGGGAACCGGACATTTCTCGGGGATGAACCTTATCCCATGTGTACTCCACACTTTGTTTTATATCTGTGCCAAATTTCAAAAGGATACGTTGAACCGTTGCAGAATGATCGAGTAAACATTAAAAAACTAAATTAATGAATCCCACAGGAACCGTAACTATTCCCGGGATAAAAAGTAGCCTATGTGTTCTTCCAGACTATGCTCTAAACCTGTGCCAAATTTCATGGAGATCCGTTCAGCCGTTTAGGCTACAAACGCTAACAAACATCCATCCATCCATCCATCGAAACTTTCGCATTTATAATATTAGTTAGATTATTAAAAAAAGTAATATTTAGATCAAACTACGGGATCAAATATACAGAAAAAATTAATTCCCTTAATGAAAACAACAACTTAATGGATGAAATATCTTTTGCATTGTTTAAAGGTACATAATTCATCTGAGTATAGTTTGCTTATTTAGGGTAGACTCCGAGCCCTTCATATAGTGAGTTGATGAATGCATCTATCTGAGAAGCAATCAATTCGCTATTTAGGCGAATTTATTTGGCCATATAGATAAGTTTCAATCGGGTACAGGTTCCGTATAGCGTTGCGCAACGTGGTAGCACCCGAGGAGGAGATAGAAGAGGCGTGCTCGCAACTACGTACCCGGGGCTTCATAAACTACTATGGACTACAGCGCTTTGGCACCCGCGCGGACATGCCTACCTACCAGGTTGGCCGCAGCCTGCTGCAGAGCAACTTCAGAGAGGTCACTATGCACTAGTTTTCCTAATATTAGTAGATATTTGTTAATTTACTAATATTTTCTTTAATCGTTTTAACTAAGCTTGTGCAAGGACAGGGGTTGCGAACCTTTATGCATCAAAGTGCCATATTTTGAAGAAATATTTAATGCAGTCTTAATCGGATTATTCCCAACCGTCACCCCGCTCTGTCCCCACGTGGGGATAGATGAGAATAAAAAGTTTCGTCCGTCCCGCCTTTTGCGATGAAGGGTCGGTTGAAACTTATTTTATTTCTTACCATCCCTTATTATTATTTATTCATCCATAATTGTATCATAATAATTTATGTTTCTTTTATAATTAGGCAATAAACTACATAATACAAGAGGGGGAGGGCGCGGGCGGCGCGGGCCGTGTGCAGCGAGCCTTCGCGCACAACCCGCGCGACCTGCTCGGCGCGCTGCACCAGGTTACTGCATCTCTGTCTACCCTACACTGTACTAAATAACTAATAACCTTCAAACTCTCGAAAAGTACACTTAAAAAAATGTGTCTCAATAGCTTTTTCTCTCCATTTATTTCATGCGGAATTAACAGAAAGCGTAGCCTATGTTTTCTTCCAGACTATGTTCTTCATTGAGATCCGTTAAGCTGTTCTCCAGATACATAGGAAACAAGCTTTCCCACTCACAATTACAATATTGTCGACATAGGAGTTTAAAATGCATCGTAGATATAGACAAAGCAGAGCTTCCAATAGAAATTTCAGTTTAAATGATGTTTCGGGAATTTTTAAAAATTTACATTTAAAAATTAGAAAAAAATCTTCATGTGGGAAAGGGACCATAAAGTACAAGCTGCCATCAAGGAAGCAAGGTTGCCATGTTTTGTCATTGTGTCGTCATTTTGACATTTGCAATTGATAATTTTCATAATTTCATGCGAATGAAGTCGCACGGGAACAGGAAATAAATAAATAATTTTTTTCTGTACATTCCAGTTGCCGCGAAACCAGCGTATGCTGTACCTCCACTCGTACCAGTCGCTGGTGTGGAACCGCTGCGTGTCGCGCCGCCTGCAGCAGCTCGGCGCCCGCCCCTCGCCCGGCGACCTCGTGCTGGACACCCTGCATCCTCTGCACACCCTGCACAAGCATCACGGTAATACACACACACTAAAACACTACCATAGGACATCAAAGTCACAAAAAGTGGCAGAGCCCCGGTAGGGCTCCCCCAATACCATAACTATACAGAAGACAGGCGTCAAGTGGGAGCAATTCCGTGTACAGTCTGATTCGTGAAGCCGGAGGCCTAATTTATGTTCCGTATTCATGCATTTCTTAAGAGGAAAGGATGAGAAGGGAAAGTGAATTTGATGGTGGAGGAGTCGCACAGGAAGGGGAAATATTTATTATATATAATATCTTTTTGTGCGATTCCTCTGTCAATTAAAGGTAGGAATCGCATCTACAATTGCAAATATGTATAGACAGCGGTCGCTTCGCTTTTTCGGCGAATTCTGGTGGCTGTTATTTCATTTTCCATCTAAGTAACGGCAAAACAACTCTAAATGTGCCAAAGGACTGTCTAACTAAACGATTGATCAAGTAACTATTTGCTTACAGAAATATGTTAATAACAAGTAATATAAAAAATTATAATTTTTATTCCACAGAAGACGAAGGTGATTTATCAGACGATGAGAAAGAAAGCGACAAAACAACAGAAGAAAGTGACGATACCACAAAAAACAATTCCGTACAAGCTACAGAAATCAAAGAGGATAAAGATAAAAGCAAAGAACATAATTCAGTACAGGCTACAGAAAGTACCGTACAGGCTACAGAATTAGAAAAGAATAAAGATAAAAGCAAAGAACAAGGGAAAAATCAACCAAAACCGAAGATCCCAGTTAAAATTCTAACGGAAGAAGATATAGCGAGTGGTCGATATACAATATTTGATATAGTGATGCCTATACCCGGACACAATGTGGAATATCCTCCCAACATGAAGGAATATTATAAAGAGCTGGTAGAAGAAGACAATTTGAAGTTAGATATGAAACATAAAGTCAAGTAAGTTTTATAATTTATCGATAATATCGATTTAGTTCAATAATGTCTATCATAGTTACAATCGAAATATGTAACCTAAAGTATAATGTATGTTTTAGTTTTCTGATTAATTTTTACTGTATGACTTTGTTAGTATAAAAAATTTAGATGAACATGACGTAAACAAGAATGCATATAAAAATGTCGCAACCGAATGCTGAAACGACATTCAAATATGTGACAGTGTTATGATAAAGCCACTTTGATTATAAGTGCTTACGAAGCGAACTGTAAGATTCTTTGCAATATTCAGTCATTACAATGTGTATTTTATAGGGCATATTCTCTGTCGGGCGCATACCGGCACATAGCAGTACGTCCCGAGCAGTTAGAGTGGCGCTGCGTGCGCTACGACCGCCCCGACTGCGACCTGCTGCTGTCCGATCTGCAGGAGCTACGTGGACATAACGAAACTGGCATCGATGAAGGTCAGTGGTATCACTGTTTGGTGTAATCATCATTTGGTGTAATCATCATTTGGTGTAATCATTAGTTTAGTGTAATCATAGTTTGGTGTAATCATAGTTTGGTGCAATCATTCTTTGGTGCAATCATTCTTTGGTGCAGTCATTGTTTGGTGTAATCATAATTTTGTGTGTTCATTAGTTAGTGTAATCATTGTTTGGTGTGATAACGCATGTTTATTATTTTAGAAAATTTTAAAATGAACTAATAATTTATGTTTTTCAGATGGTAAATTCAAGGCTTGTTTATTGACGATAACATTACCGGCGAGTTCGTACGCCACTATGGCATTACGAGAACTTCTCAAAGTTGACACCTCGAATGACAACCAAGCTTTACAGAACAACTATTTTAAGACCGAGATGGACGTTAAGAGTGAAACAGAAGAGAATAAAGAAGAAGCTGATAGTGTAAGGAAGCAGGATATAGAAGATAAATCTCACGAAAACGATATTAATAGAGGTGAAAAGAGGAAAATAGAAGAAGAGACGGAAGTAGATGTTAAGAAAAAGAAAGAAGAGATTGAGAATGATAAATAAATGACATTACGATTTTATTTAAGAGTTTTATTTTTACATTTACCGAAACAAATATGATAACACTTGAAATAAAATTTGAGTAATTACATATTTGCTATACAAAAACATATTTATATTTTTTACTACATTGCGATTAACACATTTTTACAAAAACTTAATAAAAAACTCTGTTAAATGATAAAAAAAATAAAAGTAAATACATATCTATAGCACGTAACTAGTAATAAATAAAGGTTAAAAAAATAACTAATTTTCCTTTTCATTTATTTTAACAAAAGTTTTACGTAACGGAACGTAACGTACGGAAGACAAATAAGCGAGAAGCTATTTAAAAAGTTTTTTAAACAAATTTAAAATCAATCAAACCTATCATACTATACGTAACGTTATCTTAATGAATACCGAGGAATATTTTTCTGTAAACTAAAGCAAAATGGCCAACTCCCGCCAACGTCGAACATTTGTCCGCCATCTTGATCCAACGTTCCCACACGTTTGGCCGCGTGCGTCGCGACATGCGCGCGCAGCTCGCCCGGTGTGGGGAACGAGCGCGGACACCACGGGCATTTGTGTGGCTTGTTCTGGAAAATAAAAGATTTTATGGTGAAAAAGGCGAAAGGATTGGTTCATTTGAGGATTTTAATGTAGGTTTGAGTTAAACTATTGTAGACTTGTAGGTTTGGTAAGCATTTTTTCTTTGAGAAATAAAATTCGGTCTCTGTTTTGTCTTTGTTCTAAACGAATGTCTGAATAAAAGTAAAAATCATGTTATATAAATGATTAACATTTGCGAGATTTTTTAAGCGAAGGGGGCAAACGATCACTGTTATCAACGAGGTGTTCACATTTGCAATACCAACTTTATTACATAAGGCAAAAGATATAAAAATCTCGGATTAATTGAAAGTGATTTTCATTGCAGTGTTTTCTTTCTGGTACGGACTAAACTCTAACTGAATTGCCAACTCCTATTTCTGACTTCAAAAGTTTAATGCGCGGTTTACATTTGGACAGTACAGTTGGTAGCCCTATAATTGGACCGTCGTTTACTGGCAGAGTGTAAACGCTAACTGGCGCTAAAAGTGTCGTTTGCTGTTGCAACTGGCCAAGTGTGAACCTGGCATAAAGACAGATAGAACTTACCTTAGTATGCGTCATTCGGTGGTAGTAAAGATTTGAGCTGGCTGTGAAACATTTACCGCACTCTGGGCACTTATGCGGTTTCTCACCTGAAAATATTAAGAAGAAAGTTAATAACAAATACTCATATTTATTAGTTATTTTGTTATATAATCAAAGTTAAACAGTAGTCTGTCATTCAAATAAAATCTCAACAATAAATCGAATCTAAGCTTAACAAAGCAATTTTAGGTTTCTTGTTAATATTTACCCGTGTGTATCCTCCTATGTGTGTTGAGGGAACTTGACGTGCTGAACCCTTTGCTGCACACGCTACACACGTGTGGTTTCTCACCTACAACGATAGCTTTATTAGTATTTAGTTATCTCACTAGCTGTGGTGTTTGCCGGCATTTAATTTGGTACAGTAACAAGAATTTATAAAGAAGCTTGTGAGTTACAGTACATAAAATAATTATTTCAGTGATATTGATAAAATTTTGTTACGAAATTATTTAATATAATTCTGACACACGGAATGAAGAATTTAGTAGACAATGTAGACAAATAAAATACCGTGCGGTTTTTAGAATACTTTCTGCTCCACACGGCCACAATGTGGAATAGTGTGTTCTAAGCGATATTTCCAAACAAGTATGACTTAGGGTCCTTTAAGAAACGATCGTATCATTTTCTCAAAGGCCAGTAAAGTAGTAAGGATGTACGGATGACCGAGGGCGTTGTTTACCTTGGTGTTCCCGCTACTATTTCGCCCATATCTATCTTACTAATGTTATGAATACGAAAGTCTAGATGGACGTTAGAGTTTACTTAAACGGCTGAACGGATCTCGATGTCATTTCGCTGTAGAACATAGTTGGAACGAACCCATAGGCTGATAATTAAGTCTTTTTTTTTTAATTCGCGTGGATGGAGTTGTGGTCCAAAGCTAGTAAAAAATGAATGCCTCTCGATCATAACCTAAAATGTAGGTTATCTTACCTGTATGTGTTCGCATGTGCCGTTTCAACAAGGAAGGTCTATCAAACGTCTTCAAACAGACCTGGCAGGGTAATACATTTTTCACATTAAGATTTTTCCGTGGCAGACAATCACTAACCAAGTTCGAACTTTCGTACAAATTTACTAAACGATTATTCAAACCGGTCAAAAATTTTGTATCTACGAGATTTAATTTGTTTTTGCTAGTTTTTATTGATAAATCTAAAGGTTCTGTTTGTATTTCCATTATTTTAACGTTTTACTACGACATGGTTTTGAATTTTAAATTATATTCTTGTAATTTTGTGGATTGGGTAAAGTAGATTTTCTTCCGAATTTCCATATTTAACTGAGGTTAAATCGTTACAGGTATCGTTTAAATAGTGTTGGGGGGTTGTATCCGAGGTGTTTGTGGACAATGTTTCGGGTGGCGACGCGGTTGTTGCTCGTTTGCTTTGTGGTGACATCACAATAGCTTTTTAGATCATCGACCACTAATCGACATGATTTGACATTTTTTTCGCTTGTTACACGGATTATAGAAATTGTGCGATTTGTAAAATAATCTTAGTATTAGTACTTTAAGGATTGGAAAACAGGATTTCTCTTTGTACGTAGTGGGCTGAATATGCCGAATGTAGACTTCAGAAAGATATTGGAAAGTTCTCGAATTCTGAAATTCGTGCTCAAGAGAAAATTATTTCTGAGAATGCGATTACTTCAGTATAATAAAATTTGTCACATCCATTTTTTCTAATCTCCACGTAATGTATTGAAGAAAACGTAATCGCTTATAGAGGTGACGCGGCACTTGGAGTTGTATGGGGTTGTATGGGCGGGCGCGCGCCACCGGCCGGCATTATGTATGTCACAATACAACCAATAAATTTCCGATTGAACGCATTATTATGATGTTTATTCGAGAAAAACTGTCATATCATACTTTTATTGTTGGTTGAAGGTTTGGTAATCATGTTTCAGATCTTATTCAAATTGTTGCGACATTTTCTTTTTGTAAAAGTTTAAAAGATCGTTCGTTAACAATTAAGCAAATGTTTTCTACTTAGGAAAATCTTTTTTTAATCAAATCGATAAATGTAGCGTGTCCTTATGCTTATTCGGTACTGTTAGACGACGAGGGCTAAAGACAAGTAACTTCAAAAGTATTTCTTTGACTTTGTACATGGAATGGTATTCGAAATATGCTGCTACATGAATAACGACACATAGTTTCTGTTTATTTAACTAAAAGTGCTTGTCTTTAACGTTGTGTGGCATCACGCAGTTCATTATAGTAATGTAACTTTGACGTACAATAGGTGTCCCTGATAATATTTCTGCCGCTTTTGTTGTTAAAATTTAGTATTACTTAATGCGATTGATCAGATATTAGGTGTCAAGTAAAGGATATATTAGATTCAAATGCTATCCCTAATGTATTGAAGTAATATAATAATTTAATTGAAGAAGAGGGATATGATACATTGTTCATAATACCTTAGAGCACGCGCACACCTTTGGCCAAACTATCGCACAACCGTTCCTATGAGCTTATATGCGCACACTACTCGATTTTTAGTTGTGCAACTAAACAGTTGAATTGGCTGCGAAACAATCGACAATCGCATAACAGTTGTGCTATAGTTTATAGTGTGTCTAAATAAGATAGATTAGTGTAATAAATGACGCGTATTATTAAGATCAATTTGTATGAAGGCAAATGCCGCACTTAATAGACGGGTATCGTAGTGACGAAACAAACATACATAATGAAAAATTTTGAACTATCGATATTCGGTTTAAATAATTATCAAACTTAACTAAAATTATTATTTTCTTATTCACTAACTTAGAGGACAATTCTAGTATTGATTATAGTGTAGAGAATTTAGCGATGAAAGAAATAATAGCGAAATCCAATACGATTACGTATGTCTGTAGTAGTAATAAACATTTATTTACTCTCATTATTTGTTATAGTCATTATTAATTTGAGAGAACAGTGTTTTTTTTATTTCATAAGTTATAACTAGAAACCTATCTATTCCAACTTCTATAAGAATAAAAATCGAAAATCGTTAAGATACATGACTGATTTTACACAACCCATTCCTACTAAATTTGAAATGAGTTTTCAAACTAATATAAATTATATAGACATACTTAGTCATGCGTGCTCTTAATGTGTTTAATTAAATGTTTTCATCTCCGCCAGCACTAATACGATCTTTATTTATCCAATTTTAGTCACTTGTTTTACAAAAAGTACAAATTTGTAAAGTTGGCAACATTGTGTATTTTCTTGCAACCCAGGGCTCGAAGAAAAAAGTCTTATTCAAATTGCGACGTCTTATTCAAATGTCGCGAGCAAATCCGCTCTGCTACTCAACTTGTTAAAAGCGTCTTGTTTAACTTGGAACCCCCCTTCTTACCCCCTACAAGTTTATTTAGTTCTATTGCCGACGATATAAAAGTTTTAGAACAAAGGCAGAAGGAAAGAACAATGGATGTTTTGGTATGATAATTAAGGGTCATTGTAAACACGAGGGTTTTATCGGAATCTAAAAATGTACCGTGTAGTGTTAGCTCTGCAAGACAAAGGAAAAGAAAATGTTCAAAATAAACAATTGACTGACAAACTGAGCTATCGAAAATGTTTTACAGGGGAACTTAAATGTTCATCGACTTTCCTCTAATTTCACGGTTACAAGCCGTATAGTTTGTAATATTGATTAATAAATAAGACATGTTTGTATAAAAAGATTTTAAAAGTGTATATTGTGATCTTTGATGTGTTACCTAGTTTTATTAAAACATATAAAACAAACATTCCTTGAAGTATCAGATTACAGACAAAATAAATTCTATAAAAGACAGATTTAGACAACCTTTGTACAGTTTTAAGGCATATTTATTAGTATATTAAAGGTAATTTCTATAATATTCGTCTAATTCAGACAGTTACAGAAATAAAATCGATTAATCGTATTGTTTCATTGATCGAATTAATGCGAATTTCTTTAGATAACATTTCGAACAACATATTTGTCGTCCGACATTACCAGCAAAACAAGTCGAGATCGATCGATAATTTAGATTTCGCTAAAAGCGAACGCATCTTCAACAAGAAATAAAAAGCTATCGGAATATTTGTTGAAAATTACGCGCGGCATCGACCGGCCCCGGCCGCGGCTGTTGCATAAATGCATTACGCTGAAGATAGGCGGTAGGCGCCTCGCACTATCCGCCAGTTTCAAGACAAAAGCGAAAAGCGGAATACATCTGATCGAAAACAATTTTTTTATCAATAAAAACTCAAATACTCATTTATTAATTCACTAGCTTTCGCCCGCGAATCCGTCCGCGTGAAATTAAAAACAAAAGCAAATAGCTAAAGTGTTCTTCCAGATAATCCTATACATCGATGTCAAATTTCATGGATATCAGCTGTTTAGGATACACACTTTAACAAATCCTCCATCCATCTAAACTTTCGCATTTATATTATAAGTATGATTTACTTCCATTACACTCAATGATTCTATAAATTCAATTTAGTGCGGACGAAAGCGAGTTACATTATGCAACGAAGATAGATAAATTGAATGTGATACTGTTACATAGCTATATCTAAATAGAAATGTACTTCATGTTTAATTACAATTAAGGTATTAGACAATACGATAGCAGTGATAGTTTAGAGATCATCCAATTGATTTTTGACTTTATTGAAGATTATTTTGTTTTTATTTGTTTTACGTAAATGTAGTCGCTTTCATCTATAAATTGAGCTGTGCTGGTCGTCGTAAATTTATTCTTAATAAAGCGTCGCGAGCCCGGTCGGATGTATTTTTTTGATATCTCTCGCTTTGAGGATGAACCTGGCAATAGAGGGCTCTATTCTTTGGGGATTTGAGCGATGCTGTTGAATTGCGTCTTATTGCGATTTAGGAAGCTCGTTTGAGGGTCAATTTGCGACCGATATTGAGTCCACTTGCTTTTGAAAACTGTTCTTATCTTGTCTTTAAAATCGCAGGAACCATTGTCTGAGTTAAATATGTCTTTTGCTAGATTTGATCTTTGGTAGAAATATTCGTATAGATCGCTTCACAAATCATTTATTCGTAATTATTGGACATGTATAGTACGTAATGATCGATTTATTTATTCCCTTAGAGTAATGTACCGTAAAATTAGTCTGGACTTTATATGAGGTGAAAATTGAAAAGTTAATTAAAAGAATATTGAAAATACTAGAGATGACATTTAAAATACTCCGGCTCCAAAGAACCAGACGAAATGAAACTAAATTGTATCAATGCTGGACCCAATTTAAATATTCTCATCTACTTCTTTACACTAAGGGTCGTATTAAATATTTAAATGCCAGATTTAAATATATTGCATCGTGGAACGCGGATGTACTAAGTACTCACTTAGTGCATCCAACAAAGAAAGTCCATTAGCGTAGCTGACGTCGAAATAATTCACAGTCTGAAACTTATTCTAAGTTGCAAAGTAATACCACAAACATGGAGCAGGGTGAGTGGGCGTGGCTTACGGTGTAGGCGTGGTCAACGGCTGGGCGGAGCTTAGCCCAGAAATTAGGTCGAGTGTGTCCTTATCGTTTCGATTTATTCCCGTTTTAATTAAGATATAACTTAATGGAATTGCTCGTGTTTTTGTAGAAACTAATATTATCTTTTGCATTACCTGGAATAAATGATAGCATTGGTTTTAACTCTGTAGGGCTGTTTAATTTTCTCTTATTATAAAGTAACTAGCTGTTCCCATGCGGCTTCATCCGCAGGAAATTATAAAAACTTTATTTTATAGTTTAAGTTTGTCAAATTCTCAATTGCAATAATGTGTTTCTTTAATGTTGGCAGCTTGTAGTTTATGGTCCCTTTCCCACATGGAGGTTTTTTCAATTTAATTACCTCCTAAGTTTAATAGTTGGAAAATATAAAGCCTAAAGCGTGTCGTAAGTGTAGGACATTTGATTAATAAAATAATCATTTAATAGTATGCTGTGATTGCTGACATCCTACGCCACTAAGTAGTGTGTGTTTACGCTTTATTATATTAGTATAGATTGTAAACTAACCTGCAACAATGCTAATAGTTTAGTGTCCTAAGGGATCTTCACTTTGCAATATTACAGTTTCTACTATGAATAGTAAGTAATACAAGTGTTATAATACTAGTGAGAACTAAGGCACCAACCGGGCACCGGGCACCACCGGGGCACCAACTTGAGAGAGAGTGTTATAGGGCTATCTTTGCGGTTGCGTCGCGCCTAGCATTGCACTCAGTAGACGTGAGTGCTGGCCTTTTAATGATTAGTTATAATAACGTATTACGAAACTTTAAACAATTTATTACAACTATTATTAAGTCTGAGTGTACCGAAGACTTAGAAGTCTATAAACGTAATGTATTACGTATACAAACCTATGTTTCCGCGTAAATAAAAAACCATAGTTCCGCACAGGTAAAAGCTAAGTCAATAATAAAAGGGAACATTTTTTTAATCTATCAAAGCGTATATGTTTTTAAACGAACACAGAATATATGATGTTATTTTGTTGAGACGGGGAGTTGAGGCCTCGCACGCGGTAATTCTTTCAATTTGATCATGTTTATTTAAATGGGGTTTGTTACAGTGTAGCGACGGAGACGTTTTAATATGTACCGAGACACTGTTATTATCTTGTCGGATATACTGTCTCCAATGACACACGTCATTTTTGTTAGGCATTTGAGACAATTGATTTTCAAGATAAGCATACATGATGGTAGTATAAAATACTTAATTCGTACTAGTTTAAAAAGATATTCTATATTGGTTTTGTTTAACCGACTTCAAAAAGGAGGAGTAAAATTATTTATATTTTCTATTTCTATTTCTATCTCCAACTCACTGCTTGATGGATTACTTATAAAGTATGTCTCGAAGTTTTATTATGGTACATTCTGGCAGAGTTTTCGAGCAAACGGATATTGGAATTCGCTAAAGTAGTGACGCGACCGCTGCCCATAGACATTTGCAGATGCGTGGCCTACCTTTAATCAACAGAGACGCTCAGAAAGAGTATACTGTCCCTACCTATGAGACATCACCCGCCAAATCTAATTCCCATTGTTACTTTCCATGTACCTTGCCCTTGGTGGAAAGGGAAACAGTACAAATTAAGCCTCCGGCGTCTTTGTTCATCAACAATCCTTGAATTCATACAACTAGAAGGTATCATTTACTTTTTTTAGTTTTAAATATTGTTCTTTTTTACCGCAATTAGGTGCAATGGATACAGTATCGTTATAGCGTCGCGTTATATTTTTTCCAATTTCGCGGCGGCGACGCGTCGAGAAAATCCTCTTTTGATTTATTTTTTAATTCACCGACTCATTTCAATTTATGAAAGCGAGGCTTCGGTCGCCATTTGTACCTGTCGAGAGACGAGGCTTTCTTAAGTTAGACTACTTACAGATGTATTAAGTTATTCGATGAAAATGTTGAGTTTTTTCAATTTATAAGAAGTATGTGTTGAAAATTTTCTTACAATGAAACTAATAATCATACTAATATTATAAATGCGAAAGTTTAGATGGATGGATGTTTGTTACGAGTTTGAAACCTAAACGTGTGAACGGATTTTGATGAAACTTGGTATAAATGTAGAGGATAGTCTGGAAGAACACATAGGATACTCACTTTTGTTTTTAATACCACGCGTACAGAGTCGCGGGCGAAAGCTGGTTATTAATAACTACAACACTCACTTGTTAAGGGATCACTAAGCTGTATACAAATAACTCTGAGTACGGAAGTAAATAGAGGTCCTTTATTCACTTGGTTCATAAATAATAAATTTTGATCCATACATAGATAATAAGTTGGTATTAATGTAATTGTTTTTACTTTAAATAAAACGGTTTTAAAAGATTTATTTTCCTTAAAAGCTAGGAAAGTTTTTCATAGAACAATATAGGTGGGAGTTTGTCGGGACGGTCGCAAGATGGCGCTCGCAAAAAGCGCAAAGTAACAGATGATCCTCATTTAAATATCTGCGAGGGACATTGGGGAGGCGTTTAGAACTTTACTCTGCAAATACACGGCATGTTTTTCATTTTTTAAATTAAAAGTTACATCTTAAAGTTTCTTTCATTCTATTTTTACCTTTACGGAATTTTACTGACTTCCAATAATTATAGTGTAAGGTTATGCCATTTCCTTTTAATTATGAAAAAAAAAATACATTAACTAATCCTGTTAATTTTATGTTAAAGCTACTTGTATCCAAACATTTACATAGAAAGCAATACTAAGCATACCTTGGAAGTCGGCAAATGAATATCGCAAACGAAAAATCGTCAATTGTTTTTGAATAAAATAATTACACAACCTCGTGTTTAGGGTTTAATAAAAGTATTTATTAAAATAAAAAAAGAAAATGAAAAAACATACAGTGTGTTTAAAATGAGATGCAGGTCGGAGTCAATATCGTGAGATCAAAGTGCGCCGGGCTTTCAGCGCCGCTACTGTCCCTTACCACGTCATTGACACGTTCTAACTATTAATAAAACTTCACCAATATATTTTAATGTAACTAGAAGTAACAATATATCTAAATATAAAAATATGAGTTTAATAGACAGTGTTATGTTCTAGCTGTTCCCGTGCGACTTCATCCGCATGAAATTATGAAAAAATTATTTTATTATTTATATTTGTCAAATTATTAATTGCAAAGGTCAAAATGACATGACATGATGACAAACTTGCTTCCTTGATGTTGGCAGCAACTTATGATCTCTTTCCCACATTAGGGTTTTTATCCAAAATATTTACTCCCTTAGTTTAATGGCGTTAAAATATATAGCCTAAAGCGTGACGCAAGTATAGGGCTTTATGTTAAAAAAGAGTTATTCAAAAATATTTTGTAATTGCTGACATCTTAGGCAGCAAAGTGTGTGTTTACGCTTTATTATAATAGTATAGTATAGATACAATGTTTTATTTCAAAAGGAAAAGAAAATTATAGTTACTTTTACTACCACATAGGGTTTAATGGTTATTTGAACTGCGATTGTTTAAATAACCAGTATCGATTTTTCTAAAAGCTATTCTCAGGGATGTATTAAATCACTTTTAACGGGATAGGTAAAGACCAATAAACAATATATAGCTACCCTACTAGATTTAAAAGAATCCCCACAACAAAATCACTAAAAAAACCATAGATGACTTGAAAGGTATAAAGATTTTATATCGACAAGTTTCCATCAAAAGTTTTCGTCATCAATTAATAAACTATTCTGCATAGTTTGCTTCCTTATCTTTAGCTACGTTAAGTAGAATTAAGTTAGGATTAAGTAAATAAAACACATTTATTAATTCAAAAAGTAATGTAATAAGTTCATTAAAACTTAACTTATCCATGTCTAAAAAGTACAAATAAAATATGTTAAAAACATCTGTACTACTGACTGGTTAACAAAAACATAAAACTTATTTGGCACGTGTACTCGTCACTTAGTGGATTTTAATTCATTATCGCTATATAAGACTAAAATAAGTAATGGAAAAGCTTATGGTGTTATACTACATAATCTACTTTTATTTTTTAACTCTATGTCCTTTTGGATAATCTGAAACAAAGTAATTATTACATTAATGCATGAAATGATAAATTTTGTACCTTCGATCATAAACTATACTATTATAATAAAGCGTAAACACACACTTCTTTGTTGCCTAAGATGTCAGCAATTACAGCATATTTTTGAATAATTCTTTTTTAAATAAAAAGCCTTACACTTACGTCACGCTTTAGGTTATATATTTTTACGCCATTAAAATTAGGGGGTAAATATTTGGATAAAATCCCTAAAGTGGGAAAGAGACCATAAGTTGCTGCCAACATCAAGGAAGCAAGATTGCCAAGTTTTGTGATGTCATATCATTTCGACATTTGCAATTGACAATTTGACACATGTAAACAATAAAATAATGCTGATGAAATCGCACGGGAACAGCTAGTTTTTAATAAAATTAAATTTTATTTATGTACAAAGCAAATGTCGATAAGCAGTATTAATTTGTAAATTATCCAAAGTACGACATACGTGTCGTGTGTAGGTAAAACTTTGACTGAACAGTCCGACTTTTTAGTAAAATCTGCAGGTCAGAACTGAGAATAATTAGCTGGCTTAACTGATGTAATATATATTTTTTATAACATAAGGTGCCATCGAGCAAGCGGTCACCTGAATTACTGAATCCATCGAAATGGAAAGCGACCGCTGCACGTAAACAACCGCAATTGCAGATGCGTTGCCTACCCTTAATTGACGGAGGACGAGACGCACATAAAGACGACACTTCGTATCCATTCATCTTAAGAAAAGGGTAAAAAGGGAAAGGGACTAAAATTAGGCCTCCTGCAACACATTCATCAGACGAAACGCGGAATTGCATCTACTTCACGCCTGTTTTCTGTGTGGTCGTGATATTGCACCGGGCGAGCCGGCCAATTCGTGCGAAGATGTTAAAGCGTCTACCACTGTTATATATTAATTATCACATTAACTTACCTTATTAAGACTAAACTTGCGTATAAGTTGCTCGATACAACAGGCCTATTGTTACGTGCAACCATCGTGTTTTACTGTCCGGTACACTGGAATGTGGAAATTTTATATTAATACAAAAATTAGAACTATTTTGGTATAAAAATTGGTAATAAACGATATCATAGATTGAACAATCCTTTGTCATGTTTGCATAAAGTGGTAAACGAAAGTTATTGTAAATAGCATGTTTTTATATTAAAAAGGTATTAAACGCTGATGCAGGTCCATGTTGCTTAAAGACATCTCCAACATGCACACTCCGTTACAACTGTGTTTTGTTTTTTTTTATCGAACAGCAAAGAAGATAAAGTTTTTAAGGAATTCCTATTAAGTTTTATTGTCTGCTACGTCCTGTTTACCTCGTAGCCAATTCTTCTCTAATAGAAACGAATGGTGAAAGAATTGAAATCAGCCCAGTAGTAAAAATACAAACTCTCCTCTTTATAATATTAGTATAGATGTGTGCAAGAATTAAGTCAGAAATTGGGATATTCTAGGATGGGAGGTCTTCAAAGAGCGATTGGACAGTACCTTAACAACAGTGGTCATAGCAGGGCGCGGTGACTGCGTGCGGCTCGCGGGGAGCGGTGGCAGTGGCGCTGCGGGCTCCGGCGGTGCTACCACTGGGCCCTGCCGCCGGGCACTCGGGACTGACAAGACACATAGCTTAAATTTCTAAAATTAAGACTCACTGACGGTATTTTTACAATACTTTGGGGGGAAATCTAATGATATCTAATTCAAAATACATCAAGCTTCGCTTGAACGCCTCTGTAATGTTTTTGAAATAGTTAAAATGGTAAGTTAAAACTTAGATGAATCAATCGTCTTCTAATTTAGCGAAAGGAAAAATGAGTAACTTTTAGTGAAAGGTTTCTGATCCAATAATGTTGAAAAAATTCAAAAGGAGGTAGATGAAGATTATGGATGTCTATCAAAAGCTGGCAAATTTTTCCCTTTTACTGCATTATTTAACCATATTATGTTATGCTTAAAGATTAAAAAGTAAATAAAGTAATACTTACAGCCCGGCGGCAGAGCCTCGTAGGCTCAGAAACTGAGTCACTGTGAAAAAAAAATTGATTTCATTAACATTTCAATAGGAGAATTATTTCAATCAAGTTCCTATATCGATATATTACTTCACTTTATTTGAAATAAGATTAATAAACGTTTGCAATAAATAACGTAAAAAGTAACCAAAAGCACAAAAAATAATTGAAAAATTACATCTACCTACACCATCACGACATGGCAATATTTGAACTATCTTAATTTATACACTTATTACTTTTAATATATTTATGCTACACTAGCTTTCGCCCGCGACTCCATCCGCGTGGAATAAAAAAAAACAAAAGTGAGTAGCCTATGTGTTCTTCAAGACTATCCTCTACACCTATACCAAATTTCATCGAAATCCGTCCAACAGTTTAGGATACAAACTCTAACAAACATCCATCCATCCATCTAAACTTTCGCATTTATAATATTAGTATGATTACTTTTAAACTATCAAGTAATTTAATATATCTATGCTTCATTTATCAAGCGTTGAAGGTAGGTAACACATTAATTAGTGCGTCAAAGCGCGTGACTACACAAATGCCTTAAGAAAACGTAAATAAGATAATTAGTTAAGAATATTCACAATAAAATGGATCAACCAAATAAAATAAGAACAAATATTAAGAAAATAGATGGTATTAAAATGTAATACTCACGCGTGCACACTCTCTGCCGAAAGCATGCGACGCGTGCGATTCTGCGAATATATACCCAGTCAAGAGACAATTAATATGCAGATGGACGTAACGTAAAAATCTCAGAATGTTTTAGTCACAAAATTATTCCTGTTTTTTTTTGTTGTTTATCAATGCTTTTGTTTTTTTAAATTTATGTAAGTGTGAATGTATCACTAGCTGCTCACCACTTCATCTGTGTATAATTGAAAAAAAAATTAATAAAAACAAAGCCTGTTCTCACTGATAATGTAGCTTTTTAATAGGGAAAGAATTTTTGGAATAGCTTCAGTTGTTTTCGACTTATTCCAATACATAAGATAAGATAAGATAAGCCTTTATTCTCTGACAATTTTTTTTACATAGATTTAACTACTATTCCAATACATACAAAAATACAAATCTTTCTCTTTATATTATTAATATTATAGATAAGATGTGATATAAATTACTTGATTTTATAAAGATACGTTTTAATAATTTGGCAGTGATCGCAAACTTTTTTTTGTGTTAAACATAATATTTGCCTGTAATCATTGCAGCTTTTTTAACAGTGGTAGTGCCCGCTTTAACATCTTCGCACGGATGGGCCGGCTCGTCCGGTGTAATACCACGACCACACAGAGGACAGGCGTGAAGTGGAAGCAATTCCGCGTTTCGTCTGATGAGTGTGGTGCCGGAGGCCTAACTTTAGTCCCTTTTCCTTTCCACCCTTTTCTTAAGGGGAAAGGATGGGAGGGAAAAGTGGATTTGACGGTGGAGGAGACGCATAGGAAGGGGAAATGTCCTCTTTATGTGCGTCTCCTCCTTCGTCAATTAGGGTAGGCAACGCATCTGCAACTTCGGATGTTTATGGGCAGCGGTCGCTTTCCATTTCGGTGGATTTAGGTGGCCGCTTGCTCGTTTGTCACCTCGTGTTATAAAAAAAAAAAAAAGCTATTTCGACATTCAACAGTAAATTTTCAGTTAAGTTATTTTTCAAATTAATCATAAAAGATATGTCAGGCAGGAAGTGCATAGAAGCGTCTAGAATTTACGTTTATACCTTCCTAAAATATTTTTTTCTAACAGAGATTTTTATCACTGTACCTACTTTAATTTGAATATGAATACCACAGATAGATGTTTAAATTTTTTTTATAATTTCTCTACACATTTCTTCTGACATCTCAATATTATCTTAGTGCCTTAATATTATGTTATGTTGTTATCCATATTGATTTGATCTTACTAAAATGATAAAATTCTTTGTTAGCTTTATTCGATGACTTTTTAAAAACTTAATTATGGCAGGATAAGTATGTTATCTCGCTAATCTCACTAATATTATAAATGCGAAAGTTTAGACGGATGGATGGATGTTTGTTAGAGTTTGTAGACTAAACGGCTGAATGGATCTCGATGAAATTTGGTGTAGATGTAGAGGATACTCTGGAAGAACACGTAGGCTACTCACTTTTGTTTTTTTTTTAATACCACGCGGACGGAGTCACAGGCGAAAGCTAGTCTAAAATAAAAAATACATTAAATCGGGTAAAGATTAATTTTTAACCTTAATTGAATAGCTTAAGTTTAAATTAGAACAAAATTCTATGTAACTCATCTATAACATTGGCCTACCCAACAGACAAATCATTACTTTTATAACCACGTAAATAAATAGATAAATGATAAAAAAGAAATAGAATTGCTAACTCCCCTCGTGGAGACGGTTAGTGCCAATAAACTTACACCCAACGTATAAAAACTTGAGAGTCCTCCATACCAACCTACGCAGACCCACTGTAACATAGTGCGCCATCTTGCGGCATGGCTACCTCGATAAATTCAATAAGCCTGGCATCCCACTGGAATGTCCACCCACCACCCGTTGGAAAAATATTATATAACCAGCGGAAAATTTCCAAATGGGCGGTACTACTGGGCGTGTTTAAACCACGCCTTCCGGAGTGTGAGGGAGGGGTTTGGCCAGTTTTATGTGGGGACATAAATCGCTTCTAAGAACGTTCTCCGGTCAGTAAATCGTTGTGATGTCCACTTCAATTAAGTGCCATATCTTAGCAAACGTAACATATCTACTTTATACCTAAGTATAAACCTGACTTGAAGCGTTTCTTTACTTTATTAAATCTATAACTTCAAATTCATTTTCAACATATAAATTTTTAACGTTAAAAATAATAAAACCGAAACAATTAATACGTATAATGGCATCACGTATTGATGTACTGAACTATTATGAATTTATAGTAAAAATAGGCTTACGATTTTATTAAGGGATTAATCCAAATGGGTTAAAATCTTAAATGAGATTTTTTCTTCGAACATAATCCGAATTATATTAACTAGCATTCCATGCAACACTAATTAAAAATCAAAATAAATCCTGAGTAAAAATGTTAACATAAATGCATTTTTTTCTATAAGGGTTTTTTTTCAAAAACCCATCCAGGCATTCCTAAAACAACACAAAACTTGACAAACTGATCTATCTTGCAGAATCAAACAAACATTTTTTTGCATCTTTCATCTGTTTTTAGAGGAATTTCTTTATAGAAAAAAAAAGAATCACCTGTAATTTGAAACTATAAGTAATCATTTCTAATTAGGTTTTTAGGTACTAGATATTGCAACTACCTCACTGAGCATTCTAAATATCCAATGTCCATAAGAAGTGTTTTGTAATTACGCTCTGGAAGTAAACGTCCACATTTTATAGATTACTGAACTAATTCTTATATGGTAATATCTAATGAGATTGATTTACGACGACATTAATTGAAACGACGAAAAACAATTAATTGGTAGATTTCTTGCACGTACGTAACTGTGTTAAGTAGTTTAGTTTTTAAGGTTTTTTTTTATAACATAAGGTGGCATACGAGCGAGCGGCCACCTGAATTCACCGAAATGGAAACATCCGCAATTGCAGATGCGGTGCCTAACCTTAATTGACAGAGGAGACGCACATAAAGAGGATATTTCCCCTTCCTTTGCGTGTCCTCCACCGTCAAATCCAATTTATCTTCCCATCCTTTCCTCTGAAAAACGGATGGCAAAGGAAAGAGACTAAAATTAGGCTTTTTTTCTTATATTATCGTATTTGTATGATTTGTTGCAATCGATGAAGGACGGCTACGTTTAGCTGTGGAGGACCTAAGGCTGATAATTATGATGATGATGATGATGATGGTGATAATAATGATGCTGATTGAAGATACAAATTGTATTTTTATTCTTAACAATCGTATAAATATATGTGAAAGAAGGCCTACGAAGTAATTTTCCGTGAAAACTAAGTATTTTTTATCGTGTCCTTAAATCCTGATATTATATTTTAATAATGGTAACGTATTGAATTATAATATAACTATTTAGTGATAATTAAGCAAATATATAAAAACGGACATTAAAAATCTATTGCCAAGGTAACTCTAGCGTTGAAAATATAAAACAATAGCTTTCGGAACGACTTCGTCCGCGTGGAATTAAAAAAAACAAAAGTGAGTAGCCTATGTGTTCTTCCAGGCTATCCTCTACATCTATACCAAATTTCATCGAAATCCGTTCAGCAGTTTAGGCTACAAACTCTAACAAACATCCATCCATCTAAACTTTCACATTCATAATTTTAGGTAGATAAAACTCAATTCCGAATTCAAATTTTTAAGAGCTTTAGCAACTAATCTTATTCAAGTTAAACAAATAAAAATAATGAAAACCAACTGAACGTAAAATTAATTAGTTACCGAGTGAGAGAAGCACCGCTAACCAGAAACGGGGCCCAAACAAATGCTAATTCTTTTACAACTAAACATTTTTTCGGTGCCATTATCAATAGATGTACACTTCAGGCCAATTTAAATATCCTCAAAAAATTGTGGGAAAATATTAATTTAATTTGACTGTAAATATTAATTTCATCTTTTTAATAAAAAAGGATTGTGAAATCATGTAACATTTTTTAAATGTTTATTAAACACTGTCCTAATCCTAAATTCGACGGAGATTTGTGTAGTAAAAAATATTATACGTCGCCAACACACTAAAATTAAAATCTTACGTATTTTTCTTTAAACTAGTTCAGTAGATTTTTAAAGTTGGTAGTGTAGTATTATAATAATTTTACGATGCAATACATTTCAAATATAAATTAAAAAAATGTGTCTATATCTAATATGCGATTTGTTTTTCAGTTATTTTGCTCTTAAGTGTACTTCATTTGTCCTACTAGCCTCTCGCATCTGGCGGTACATAAACTTTGGGACAAAAAACACAATACAAAAAAGAGGAAATACAGGAAACGAGGAAAAGGGACTCCGG